GTGCAGATTTTCAGCCTCGATTACTCCTCCAAGCGTTCCTCCTATAAATACCAAGTTCGAGCTACATTTAAAGGGTTCAAACACCAAACCAAAAAACCTCCCACGGAGCAACTTATATTTTCCTGTAATGCACTTTCAATATCTTTACTTGCTTTCCTAGGAGTAGCCTTAGATTGTAAGGAAAATCCGTTCATCAATATATCATACGACCCTTGATTTTTAAGGCGCCGGAGCACCATGTCTGTTACTCTCTCATTCACCCCATATATCATACGACCGTCGCTCCCTGAGCAACGCGCCGGAGCAACGCCCAAAATCCATTATCAACAACACCATGAAACGGCCTTGTAGCTCAGGCCGTGAACCTGACGGCCGAGATTAGTTCCTCTCTCGGCCACAATCGTTTGATTAGGAGTCGAACCCAAACAGGCGCACCACTTAACCATTTTCATCCACATCACCATCTCGACGCACGGTAGACTGTGCTGGCACGCCCGCGCACAACCACACCGCATCCAAAAGCAGGAAGCCACGTGTTAACGCACATCCCCTCGGCCCGGAACCCCAGGCCGTGAGATTTACGCAGCCAACAGGACCCGATCTCTAAATCTGTGGGTATTGGAATGGTGGTCAGGCACCATAATGGACAGTTTTTGGCTTGTAAATCTCTGCTGGCTCAGGTGAACTCGGCTCTAATGACTGAATGTTTAGCTTGCCTAGAAGGGTGCAAATTTGCTTCGGATAAGGGTGATCAAATGGTCTCTTTCAAGTCTAATTGCCTTGAAGTCGTTAAAAGTATAAATGGTGACATCTCTTGGGGGAAGTGGGAGATTTACCCAATCCTTAATAATATAAGAGACTTTCTCTTGGCGTTCAGATCTTATAGCTGGACTTGGATTCGCAGAACCGCAAATGAGGTGGCAGATCACTTGGTAGAGCTTGCTAAGTCAAGGATGTGCAAAGAAGTTTGAGCCTATAGGCCTCCATCCTCTCTCACGTTCATCTTGAATAAGGATGGCCTTCCGTGCCCTCCAACAAATGATTAGTCTGGTGCTGGCTAGGAGGCCTATGAACACGGTGGTTCCTAGTGCTACTGTGTCTTTCTTCTTCCCCTCCTAGTTTGTCTTTGTATTGCATTTTGGTTTTGTTGTCCCCCTTGTGGCTTGGACTTCCTTGTTTGTTGCTCTTGTATTTTTCTTGGGTTTGGCTTCTTGGCTTCTCCCCTCTGGAATGAAAGCGCTGTTTCTGACCACACAAAAAAAAAAAAAAGGCTCTCATCAGCAGTCCATATTAAAATAGATGAAGGATCCAAAACCTACAATGACTCTTGACCAAGGTCTAAAATATCGATCATGTCGGAAATATCGGTAGTCCAAAAACACGAAAATTTCAATGGAAATATCAGGATATTATCGATATCGATAAAAATTATATAAAAACCATAGAAATTGTAAGAAAAACTTGGAAATTTTTATTGAAACTTTGGAGAATGTTTATTTAGTCAATTATCTATTAGTTTATCACAAAAAATTAGAAGAAAATGCATTGCATGATGGAGTTAACTGATTTAAGTTGATTATACAGCGAGTTGGCAAACACTGTGAGTGTAGAAAATATATAGTAATTAATGAAAAAAGATTAAACACACCATAATCATTTATATATAATGATTTACTACAATATTTTACACTTTATACATTGCATGGTAAGATATATGAGTGACTTAGTACCACATAGAGTTCCTATGAGGTTCAAATTTTTCACTATCTGCATCATCTCTATGTGTAGAGTAAGTGTATTGTAAAGAGTAGTCATCAAATGATAAATCCCCAAAATAGTTTTGCATGTAATTTTTAACATGCCACCCATATGGATCCGAGATTGGTTGATGTTGTCCATAAGCAAAATCATTTGAAGATTGACTCTCGGATTCTTTCCATGAGCCGCTCGATTTCATCCCAAAAGGAAAGGTCAAAGATTCATTCTCATGTGAAAATTTAATTCTTGAAAAAAGAATTCAAAACAAAATAATATAAATATAAATATTTTAGCATATTATCATTCGCAAGTGTACGTACAAACCATAAGATAATATAGAAAGCAAATACGAGCTCATTCCTACAAGGACTGTTCTAATCCGAATCTAGTTACTCAACTCAAGTTAAATCCTAACACTATTTAATTCTGACAAATCTAATTTTGATGAAAGAAATATTTAAAAGCCATAAAAGAAACAAAACTTAAAAGTATATACTTGTAATTTTTAGAATTAAATTCACGGTAAAACAAAGGAGAAGCAAAGAGTCACTACAAGGAAAAACATATTCTGCGACCAAAACTTTCAGCGACGAACATTATTTAGTCGCCTAAAAGAGTTATGAGCAACGAAACTTTTTCATTAGATTTAGGCACGTATGAAGTGTTCATTGAACAAAATAGCGACGACAGATTTAGGAAAGGCGACGAAATTGTTTCGTGGTGAGGCCAGGATTTTGCGACCAAATGCCTTTTTGGTAGCCCCTTTTATCCTTGGGGTGGGCGCAAAACTCTAAAATTCGACGCAACAAATTGTTTTGTCGTTAAGTTTTCCTGAATCGTCTCTGAATGTAAATTCACGCCCAAACACTTTCATGGGATTTGGAGACTAAGTGTTTTCTTCGCCCACGAATGCGAGCTACGAATTTAATTTATAAAACTACGTCATTTTACAATTTTTGTGTTTTGGCAATCAAAAGGTTCCGTGGCTGGATCTTGGGACTATAAATAAAAAAAACTTCTCCTTTTCCATCCCTCTACTTCCCTTGTTTAGTCCTCTCATACCCAGTCTTTGCATTTGGCACGCCACCACAACTCCGAAAACGGTAGAGCAATCTTTACTGACGCCGGCGAACCACCCATATACGCACTCTTTCTTACCCTTCAGTGATGAAAATTGAACTTTTAGCGACTAAATGTGGTGGCCGCCAAAAGGGCTTTTCCTTCCAGTGAATTGAAGTTTCTGAAAAATCAAGAGGGAAAATACTAAGGATGCGATTTCACCACTGGTAATCCTATTCCAGTTCCTAGCTCTTTATCACCAAATTATCATATATATATATATATATATTAATGAAATAAATATAAAGTGTGTGTATAGGGGTGGGTCCCACCCAGTCATACAACTAGGTCTGCCACTGTGCATGGGTGACATGTCATTCAAACATTGCCAAGTGGGCGGTCAAAATTTAGTCAAAGCATAAGGACAATTTATATGTGCCAGATATGAAGTGTCATGAACCAATTAGGATGATTAATAATAAAGAAGGAAAATAAATATAAAAGGAAAAAAAAAAGTTACCATTTAAACGAAAATAAATATTTAAAGAGGAGGAAGGGTTGATGGTAGCTTAACTAGCGGGAAGACGCACTATCGTTGTGACAATTTCAGTGTCGACGACAATCTTGGCTGTGGTGAGCAAGGGTCCGTCAACCAAGGTTAGATTTCATGAGATCTACTTAATTAATAGATTATGTGATTCAAGTTTTGTATAATTAATTATCTAATTTAGTTTTAGTTTTCATTATCATGTTTAATTAATTAATATGCGTCGTCAAGTCAATGGTGTTTCTCTTCATCTAGATCGTTTTGTTCTTCATATCGGGAATGTTTGTACTTGGATTGAAACACCTCCCGATCTTATTTATGATGTTTTCTTGAGAATCATAGTGCCTTCGAATTCTTTTGAGCAATAATATATCATTTCATTTAAATAAAGAAAATTAATTAATCTTTTGAAGTAATTAAATTAGAGGATATGATACATGATTTGGAAATTCATGTTATGTGAGATATAATGTGGTGATGATAAGGTGGTATAGTTAGACTTGTTAACATATCAAAAATCAATTTTTTAAAGGTTAATGCTCTACTCCGAGTAAAGATCCGTCCGATC